ATCTGTAGTGATTTCACCTTTCTCATTCCTTATTACATGAATTTGATTTTTTTCTTTTTTATCACTAAAGTTTATTAGTAGTTTATCAATTTTATTTATACTTTCAAAGAACCAACTCTTCAGCTCATTAGTTCTTTGTATTGTTTTCTTTGTCTCTATTGCATTTATTTCTTTAGCAAGTTAATATTCCCAACCTATTCTATCTATTGAGTATTTAAATCTCCAAATGCACACTGACAGCACTAGATAGGAAAATTTCAAATATTGGTAATCAATGTTCAAAATTCTGTTTAAGTTCTGAACATGATAGTCTTACATATAGAAGGATATAACACCACTTTGAGTTATTCTTAAAGAAGCAAAATTCCTTGAATTTATTTATATTTTTCCTTCTATAACTGGTCTGGGATGAGCACAACTGAAATAGTCTACAAAAACTCCCTCCACAGTCTGAATTTCCTCTCTTAATTAAGGACTAGAACATATGCTTCAAACAGACAAATTATTCTAGGAGAGATGGAGAATGACTCTCAGAGTTGAGTTGAAGATACCTTATTATGCAACTTTCTTTTAAAGGAACCAATTAATAAAGCAACCCTTATGTTTTAAGTGTAGGTTTTATAATTTCTTACATGTGTGATCTACAGCAAATATCTTAATCATGCTGTATCTGTATTTTCCCAATGGGCAAATAGAATGATAATATTTTCTGACAGATTTCTTTTGAGTAAAGGTTAATATAAAGTTTTAATACAAAACCTTCTACACATTACGTGGAAAATGCAAGCATTATTTTTAATTTTTAGTCTGGGTCACCATAGGTTGCTCAGTATTTTCCCTAGCTGATGCTGGTAGAAACCAGAGATAAGAGTGCACATCTTATATTTAATGGTAAATGTGGGCAAGATGGTGACAGGAGAGGACAGTAGGATGGATCTAGATTCCAGAACCATGATAGGATTAAACTTTGTAAAATAGGTCTATGTTACATGCAAACAAAAGAGGTGGATGGCATCAGAAAGGTAAATGCAATAGTATTCTGTTAGAAGTGAATTAATTTTGGAGAGTCAAATAAGGAATAGTAATCAGGAAAGGAAAATAAAGTTGTAGCCAGAGGCTGGGACTCAGGCACAAAATGTAATCTTTGAATTACAGAGAAGATAGTTAGCTAAAATTAGAAAGGTGATTCTAGTTTCAAATGAATAGGCAGTAGATCAACAGATGAGATTTAGTTAGGAAGAATTTAATCATGAAAGTAAGAGTATTTTGTAAAATTCTACTTGTTATAGTATAATTTGAATATTTATAGTCTCATTAATTTATATACAGTGGTTCTAATCCTATTGTTTTTGTTTGTTGGTGGTCAGAATCTAACTTCAGAAGGAGTTGTATGTAATTGTGACATTTTCATTGCTTTTTCAGATACTGTCTTTCTAGCCAGTATGTTACCCAATCTCTGATACAAAATGATATTATACATTTCTTTCTAGCATTTTTTAACCATCAATCAAAAAATAACTCAATTTATTGATTCATTGTATTGTTTTCTTAGTCACCAATGCTTTAACTTTTGTTCTGACTTTTATAATTTCCTGCCCTACCTGAGCTTTTGGTTTAGTTTGCTCTTTTTTTAAATAGAAGTTTGAGCTTGAACATCAAGTTTTTTGTTTGAAATTGCTCTGTTTTCCTGATATGAATATTAGTTTTCTGCTTAGGACTGATTTTATTGTGCCCCATATGTTCTGATACTTTGAACTGATATTATCACTAAATTGTAGAAACGTTCTGACTTCTACTCCAATTTCATCTGTGACCCATTGCTTGTTCAGGATGGGGATATTTGATTTCCATGTTTTCATGATGTTCTTGTAGCTTCTTATGCTATTCATTTCCAATTTCATTACACTATGGTATGATAACATGTATGGTATAATTTCAGTTATTTTGTAATTATGTAAATATGTTCTGTGACCTAGTATGTGGTTTGTTTGGGAGAACATCACCTATCTGGTTGAGAAAATTATGTATCCTGATGTTTTTTGGTGTGATATTCTAGGAATATCTACTAAATTCATTTATTCTGAAATTTAGATCTGTTCTAATATATCATTCTTGAATTTTGGTCTAGTGGATGTGTTTCTTTGTGACAATGGGATATTGATATACCCCATATAATTGTATTAGTGCTTATTTGATTTTTCATTCTTATTAATATTTATTTAATACATTTTGCAGCACAAATTTAATACATATTTATGATTGCTCTTTATCTTGCATTCTTCCCTTTACAAGGATATGTTTACCTTTTCTACCCCTATTAATCAATTTTGACTTGAAATTCATTCTGTCTATAATCAGAAGAGCTGCTCTTGCTTTTTTTCTAGAGTCCTATTCCATAGAGTATTGTTTTCCATTTTTTTACTTGTAGTCAATGAACTTCATTTTAAATTAAATGTCATTCTTGTGTGCAGCATGTTGTTGGATTTTGCTTCTTGATCCATTGTACCAGTCTGTGTTTTGTGATCAGTAAATTGATACCATTAGCATTGATGGTTATGACTCATAAGTACAGCTTTATCCTTGTCATGTCATTTTGCCATTGATATCCCCCCCTCATTTTTTCCCTATCTCTGTTTAATTATTTGCTTTGCCTAGAGGATTCTTCAGTTGGGATTCGTGGGGTCCTTGCTATCTTTTTCTAGAATGTACTTCAAAACATTCAAGAGTACTGGTCTAATGGTCAGAAACTTCCTCAGATGTTCTTTGTCAAATTCTTTCAATCTACAAGTTCTCTGCCATGATGTCTGTCAACATTTTTTTATTTTTTTATATCTTCTTTTCTTCTATTGACTCCAATCTTAAGTTATCCTTCTTTATCCTATCTAGCCTGTTCTGCACAGATTTTTCATTGTCCCTTCTATTTTTAAGAAATATTTTTTTCATAATTGATAAGCACAAGCCTCTTTTTTTTGAACCAAGGATTGAACTCAGGCCCTTGCGCTTGCCAGGCAATTGCTTATTCTACTGAGCAATCTCTCAGCCCCAAACCTATCTTCTATATCTGTGATCCTATCCTCACATTGGCTTAATCTGTTTTGGACACTTTCATGGAAGTTTTATTCTCCTAGATATCTGCTGGAATCCGCATTATGGATTCTGTTTCCTTCCTATTCTGAGAATTCATGACTTATATGATTTTTAACATCCTTTATTTTTCCCTATGTTTTCTCTAGTGTCACTAAGCATGATTTTTATTGTGAACACCACATCTGCAGTTACCTGAGAAATCATTTCTGAATTGATTTTTTTCTAGAGTATCATTCAATTACTTTTTTCTTGTACCTTTACAGAAATTAGTTGTGTGATTTTTGGACTTTCACAATACATTGTTCCCTGCTGTTCCCTTTGATGACATGAATGTCTGTGGTTACATCCTAAGCGATTTTTCATTTTATTTATTTATTTATTTCTAGTTTAATTTCTGGAATGATGCTTATACAGTACTTATGGTGAGTTTCTTTATTCCTATTATTCAGAATCTCTAGTAAATAACTTTCTCTGAAGTATCTTTTAAGTGTAGCTAGTTTTTGGATTTTGATTCGGTTGCAAGATCATACATCTTCAATTTGTTGGTGATGAGAAGCAACTGATTGTTTGGCCCAGTCCCTGGTTCTTTGGCACTGTGCCACCGTAATTTTTTTTTCCTTTTTATGCAATAAAAATACAAAATACTAGAAAGGATACAGAATTTTCCTAAACAAAAATAGTAGAAATTCAACAAAGATTGTTATAAGGCAAAAAGTTATCTTCAAATTAGTTGTTTAGATTACCAGATAGAAGCATGTAAAATTGGTTTTAAATCAATTATAAGAAATTAAAAAGGAGAGGAAAACAAGCATTAACTGCTCCTTTCAATAAAACAGCAGAAATCCACAGTAAAAGTACCCAAGATTTCTAGTATATAAACATAAATATATTTTTCCATTGCTTCTTTCTTGCAACCTTTTTCTCATCCCAGTTTTTCCTTCCCTTTGCAGAATTTCTTAACCTATACAGTAGCTATTGCATGTTTCATGCTTTATTTACTCTGTCATGTTCTTACACTAGCAAGACAATATGATATTTGCACCTACAGGTCTGATTTATTTCACTTATGGGTATGATCTCTAGTTACATCCATTTGTCTATAAAGGCCTTAGATTTATCTTTTTTATAGCTCAGTAATACTTCATTGTATAAAAATAGAACAACTTCTTTATATATGACTCAGTTGATGAGAATTTGATTTGTTTCAAGGATTTAGCTATGACAAATTGTGCTGCTATTAGCATGCATGCCCATATATTGCTGTGGTATAATGTTTTCAGCTCATTTCAAAAAATATCCAGGATCAATATCTGGCTTGAATGGGACTTCCAGGCCTACTTTTTTTGAGGAATCTCTATCTTGATTTCCATAGTGGTTGTACCAGTCTACATTCCAGTGAACAATAGAGAAGGGCTCCTTTTTCCCACAGTCCATCCTGTATGTTTTATTGGTTTACTTCTTGACAATAGACAATCTTTCTGAAGAGAGATGTTTCAATTTGCATTTATCAAATGATCAATGAGGTTAAACATGTTTCATATATTTATTTGTCATTTGTATTTCTTCATCTGAGAATTGCATATTCATCTCAAAAGCACATTTTGAGATTGAATCTTTCAATTTTTACTGACAGAAATACAGAAGATCAGTTGGGTAAGAATATTTTAATTTTATAAATTTAAAAATAAAAACAACTTTCTGTATTCACAATACGCAAAATTGTAAAGGTTAGCAGAACACAGCAAAGTAATTAAAATGTAAAATACTTGAAATCCTGAATCGTGGCTAATTGCATATAAAATAATGCCATGGCCCTTTCTCTCCCAACTTGACTAGCACCTGTACTTGCCAAGTTTTTTTTTACATCCTGAAACAATAGTAATGCACACACACACAAACACACAACCCAATCTTTACACACCATACTGTCCTATCTCCTTCATCTCCCAATACATTCTACCAGGTGAATTTTCTATGATCGAGATCTGTGTATCAGTTACCAAAGTAAGAATTGGTGAAGCCAACATAATCATAGCCTGAAGCTTTTCTTTGACCTTGTGGGTCCTCATACTGCTGCATATGGGTGGTACAGAATGCCACTTGCTCTGGGGTTAGAGCCTGAAAAGCATAAAAAGGAAAAGAGGAAGTTGTAGGGCTTGAAAATATTTCTAGAGATTTATAGTTATTTGAGACTTCTGTTATGCTCTAAATGCAGAAGGTGAAGCCAGGTTTTGGAAGGACAGGCTCACCCCATGAATTAAGTAAACACTTTATTCTAAATTTCATGGTCACTGATAAGTAACAATAAATCAAACTTGTAACATATCTCTATTTAGAAGAAAATATCTAATTTACTTTGACAATCCTGTATTTCTTACTTCCTAAATTTTGCTAATTAAGTAGAAGAGGTAAAAATAACCTAAAAACATATGTGGCATGCTTTGGATTGACTCTCATAGTCAATAAGGAGTCACTATAGGTTTCTGAGCTGGAACAAGACAAAACGGATAAATCAGGCTGGCAAGATAGCTCAGCATATTAAAGCACCTGCTTAGGCAGATGCATGGGCCAGGGGTTTGCTCTCCAGCCTGCTGTGCTGGCCCCACCCTGGGGATGCACTGAGATGGCAAATGAGACTAGGCATGGTGGTGCACACCTGTAATCCTAATGTTTGCAAGGCTGAAAACAGGAAGGTTCCTATGAGTCTGATCTTTGTAGTGAGACCCTGTAGACTCTGTAGTAAGTACATAAAAAAAGATAAGTCAACACAAATGATATCCAGTTACAAGATCTTAGGAAAAAAAAATAGCTACGTAGATGAGAGTTTTCAGAGTAGAGAACTAAGAATGAGCTGACACAAATCAAAATTATGAGAGCATAGCAAATGGAATCTGACCTGCTTCAGATCATCTTTGGTAATGTAGGGTTTTCCCTCTGCCAGGGCCTGAAAAGCACTCTCTATGTCATCTCTGGTCTTGACATTTTCTGACTCTTTGTCAATCAGGAATGATGTATAATCTTCCAGTGAGACATAGCCTTTCCTGTGTGAGAAATATAGGAGCTGTATTTTCTCAAGACAGGAAAGAGTCCCATCTCCATCCCATATACTGTCTTAGAGGCCAAGGGAAGATAGATTCTCTTTTAAATTAATCACTTGGAGACTTGGCTGCACTGCATTTTGACTCTTTCACTCTCACTCTCACTCTCAGAACCACTAAACAGTTTCCCAAACTTTACATTCAGCTTCCAGTTGAGTACACATCAAAGAATTGGAATTTCTTATCTTCCTCTCAGCACAAGTCACTTGATAGCTAAATAGTTCCTGGTGTTCTTCTGTCTTTGGCATTAAAATTAGTCGCTGAAGACCAACTTGATCTGTCTATAACTCTTTCACATTGCCAAACACAAACAACTCCACTGTCAATATATTCGGTTTTTGGTTATCCATGTGTTCTTAAAATTCCACATTTTAGGGCCAGCCAAATAGCTCAGCAGATCAAAGTGCTTGCAAGCAGATACAGGAGCTGGGGGTTCAATCCCTGGACCTGCTGTGCTAGCCCCACCCCCAGGTCCCATTGAGATGGCAATTGAGACTGAGTGTTATGGTTCTTGGGAGGCTGTAAACAGGCAGATCACTATGAGTCTGATGTAGTGGTGAGACCCTTAACACCCTGTGGACCCTTCCCTTAAAAAAATCCACATCTATTTAATGGTTTCTTCTCTTAAGTCCTATCCCCAGAAGCAGCTAAAATTCATAGATAAAATAAATCATGGATTGGGAAACTTACAGACCTAGGTCATGAGTCAGAATCAGTGCCATTTATTTCTGAGTCAATTTTGAAAAGATACCAAGTGCCACCCACTTCACTTATGGTCATCTGAAGTACCCTGTTTTTCATGTCAGTGAGTTTTATCTTTCGTGGACTGCCTTATTCTTTGAACTTCTCTTTTCAAGCCCTAACACTCCCTTGCTATCACCTTTGGTCTTTTTCTTACCTCCCTGGATCCACAGCATCCAAGAACTTCTGAAACTTGGGCTCAGGTTCATCATCTTCTACCATGGGCAAATTGTAATTGAGTCCTCTCAGGCAGGATCGGAATTCTTGGTGAGTCAAACGCCCTGTCATATCCTCATCAAAATGTCTAAGACATTTTGTCAAAGTTGAGAGATAATCAGAATAGAAGAGAAACAAATAGATCTTATAATAGCTAGAGTTTTAATAATATATAATATTGATGTTGGAAGAGTTTAATAGTAAGCTTGGCTGTATATTTGCTATGCTTTTTTCTATATAATGGATGGAGAAAAAATTAAGCTATATATGAAAGATATATATTTTAAACTTAAAGCATTGCATAAGAGGGCCAGCCAAATAGCTTAGTGCCTGCTTAGGCAGATGCAGCAGCCAGGTTCGATCCCCAGCATGCTGAGACAGAAATCGAGACTGGGAATGGTGGCATGTGCCTGTAATCTCAGCTACTGGGAGGCTGAAAACAGGTACATCACTATGAGCCCAATCTATGGATTGAGACTCCATAGACCCTGTACTAAATACAAGAATGAAAAGAATTGTATAGGAATTATGTTATACTACATTATAATATAATGTAAATTATATATGTTATATTATAATTATAGTGCATTATCATTAAAGCTAATTGACAAATGTAGACTTTTATTTAAAATCTCATCAAAGCATACAAAGGTAAAAAAATACTATTTATTAATATACATACTCTGAATAGCATAGAAAATGAAAAATAAGTTAACTATCAAGATATACTCACTTATACGTGGTGCTAAACTCCTTTAGTGTGTCCTCACTTACACCTATTGTATCCCTGAAAATAAAAACATTAATTAACCATGAGATAGAAGAAAAGACTAGCAAGAAAAAATGCTACAGCAAAGATAGGAGACTATTTCTAGGCTCTCTGATATTTGATCACCTTGTTCAAGGGTTGATAGCCTATATCCCATGGCTCAGGTCCTATTTGTCACCTCTAATTATGAAATGCATTAGCTAAAATTGACTTTTCCATGTTTAATATGAATGGAAAAAATGAAAATAAAACTTTTTTGAGATTAAAAATGACATTAGACTCACAGTTTAGCAACAATTAATTAAGATTTATTGTAGCCACCATGTTTATCCATTTATAGATTATTTATGGCTGTTTTTCCAAGGTGTTAGCAGAAATGAAAAGTCAACATCTATCTCATGAGTCACAAAGACTAAAATTATTTTAAATTAAACATTTTACAGCAAAAAGTTTCCAGATTCCTGAAAAATACAACCCCAAATCTATTGAGACCTATAGAAGCTTTGCTATAATTAATGCCTAGGCAAAAAATAATACCTTCTCTTTTGGTCAATTAGGCAATTATTTGAATATTTTAGGCCATAACTTGAGTATTTTTCCATTCTAGATATTTTATTCTGAATGGGACTCTACAAAAGTGATGCTTACTGAAATGTGTGTATAATTTAGCAAATTGACTCTGAGAACTGAATGGAGAAACCATTTGTTTAGACAGACGATGACTAGAATCAGCAAAAAGGACCCCTTCCTTACATCATGACAGACCTCAGTACAAAGAGCAATACACCCTCTGTGGGATAGTATAGCAAGATAACATTGGCTTTGGAGGTAAGCTGCCTCTCTGAGGAAGCTCTTCTATCTAGTACCCCATACACTAACTCTTACTTGTGCTCCTGCTACCCCTGCACCCCTCCCCATCCCAGCTATGGACGCTCAGTACTTGGCTTGGATCTGTTGCTCCAGGTTGTGCTGCATCCGCATTCCCAGCTCATGGAGCTGGTCCCACTGCTGGGCCAGTCCAATGGTGCTGTACTTTATGTCAAGGATCAGAGCCTCTTCCATGCTGTCACCTAGGTCCTCAATCTTGGTTAGCTGGCGCTTCATTGCTTGGATCTCTTTCTGCTTCCTCTGGAAAAAGACAGAGAAAATAGTCAGTCATTCAGGTCCCTAGAGAGAAGAGAGAAGAAATGCTGCTGCATTTAAGTTTCATTTTCAGTTCTCTTTGGAGATCTTGTCCTCTATGAAAAAAGAAAAACTGAGGAGAACCTTTTCATTTACGTTTTCCTCACTTTTAAAATAGTGCTAGATTTAAGTTAGAAGAGTGCTGCAATTCTTATATGCTATAAGATGTAAATTTAAGTGTTAGTGGTGATATAATACAGATGATGGTGAGTAAAACTCCCAAGACTCATGTATCACTAGCTTCCTGTGATCTGTATTGTTGATTATATGCAGTATTAATTGTGGCTGGGTTCTAAGGTTCATCTAACTCAAGTATTCACTCCTGAGCTTCCTTTATCAATCTGAACAGATGCGTATAGTCTGCTCTTGCCAATCACAATATACAATACACAGAAATTCTGCATCTTGCTCATGAGTTCTCATGAGAAGATAGTGTTTCCTAAGGATAGGAGGGCTAAATCAAGTCTGCTGACCATAACTTATGTGTGAAGAAAACTTAAGTGTTATAAGGACTGTGGTCTTCCAAAAAATCAACTCAACTTGGCATCTTATTTTACTCTAACACTGAAATTGAATTTAACTAATGGTTTTCTTCCAAAGGGGTGTAATATCGAAAACGAGATTGAGAAACACTGTTCTAGCACATTGTAGAGCTACATTCTTGGCAGATTATCTAGATTTGATTGTGTTTTTATCACTTCAATTTGTTAATGCTCCTCATTGCACTCTAAAAACTTTCATATCTGCTCTCTCACATAATTATCACAACAGCTCTGCAATGTAAGTTTTATCTCCATTGTGTACAGAAAAAAAGGTTCAGAAGTTTTATTTATTTTATTCTATTTTTTAGGTAATTCTTGAGTTTTAATGGCTTAAACATCATCTTCAATTTACACACAAAGTCCAGATATAATTGCTTATTGAAGTAACCATGGAAGAACAAAGTTTAAGAAATATGAAAGTAAATATGTCCCCAAAAATATAGTTGTACCCCAAAAGTCATTCAGATAACTGGAATAGACTTTGAAAGAAGTGCATTATATTGATAATCATATTAAACACATAAAATAAACATTTTTATAAAACTTTCAAAAATATTGAAGAAATCATGGACGTTTATACTAATTTATCAATGTAACTTGTGACAGTCTTCAAGGAAAATATAAATAAACAGGGGGTACCTAGCCATGAAGTGGTGGTCTGTGTTTTAGAATGAGAATCATTAACAACATTAGCACACTGTAGACTTAGCTTTTTAACTGAAGCTGCAGTTTATCGAAAAACATAACCAAATTGCCTGTTACTAGTTTATCTTGAACTTTTTATCATTCTAGCAGTGTCTTCAGCTAATGAGCAAACTTTACTTACTTTATTTGCCTCTAGTTGGGATTCCAGGGTTCCTGTTTCTTTGAGCAAAGATCTAGTTTAGAAGCAAAATGAAACATTATTTCTAATATCAGAGGTCAATATTTCATATATATGTGCCAATTAAAAACTCCTACATGTCTGTTTCTACTTTGATAAATAACATAGACTTTATTCTTTATTATTTTACCTTATTAGCACATATGTAATACAAAACATTGATATTGCTTGGAGAAGGAGGAATATGCACATCATAGCTTAATTTATTCCTTTGCTCACCCCTTCCCTCTTTCTCAGCTCTCCTTTCTTTCCCTTCCTCTTTTCTGACAAGTTTGCAGTACATAATATTTAGACTTCTTGTGTGGAGTTCTCAAAGACAGAAGGGCATAAAGGGATGGATGGAGGAAAGGGATGCAGAAACGGAATTGGGATGTGTTGTGTGCATGGCCTTTATGGAACGATACTCCAGAAAGACAAAGTTTTGAATCAAACACTTCTATCTTCAGTATATTTCTAGATTCACAAGAAGGGAGATAAAACCTATCTCTATTTCTTCTCTACTTAGTAGAATGCCATTACATGTCTCTTGTCCACAAAAGTCATACTTGGTACACCTGGGTGAAAGGTTCTACTATCATTACAGATACTAAAATAAAGGATTCCCAACTGCCTTATATAAAATGGTATAGTATTGGCATAAACCCTACACACATCCCTCATATACTTCATATCATCTCTAGACTACTGATTTTTGGTTCCTAATACAATGTAAATGGCAAATAAATAGTGGTTATACTGTACTGTTTAAGGAGTAAGATAGGAAAAGACGGTGAAATTTCAGTATGGACACATTTTTCTGACTATTTTCAATCTAAATTTGGTTGAATTCAGTGATTCAGATACAATGGATACGGAGGCCAAACTACCCACTTAAGTGATAAAGGTAAGGCTTCACTGACTGCAGTTTACAGACCTCTTAGGTACTGTTATATCGGGATGGCATAGTGACACCTCAGTAATAAGCCTTCTTTATCTAACATGCCCACAAAAATACAAGGAAACAGAAATGATAATAAAATACTTACCCATCCAGAAAATAAGACCTGGACATAAAGGACCGGAAGAGGAATCAGAAAAAAGAAAAGAAAAATTGATTGTTAACATGGCTTTAGTACAATAAACCTTACTTCATAATATTTTGAGTCCTTTGTAGATAGAAGATATGATCCTGTCCACAAGGCTCAAAGTCTTGCCTACTCTAAGAAGCTCAGAGCCTTGAAGGAAGATGCCTCATGGAAAAGAGTGTAGATGGAAAAGGACACCTTCTTAGTCCAGGGCTCACTGCCAGGTATGATAAACCAGAGGAAGATGTATGGCTTCCTGCTACCTTAGTTTTCTTTTTTGTAGACAGGATGCAAGACTTCTTTTTATGCAGTCTTTTTTACCCTTCCTGCATATCCTGAGTATGTAGGAAGAGTATAAATCATGGATTGTCCAGGAACCACTTTAACCCTGAAAACACCACAAGGCTGGCTCACACAATGGATAATCTTCAGTATCTGTTCTAATGCATCACGATGTTTCTTGCTGTGCTGTCTTTTCCAAACTATTTACCAGAAATGGAACAAATGCTACCTTCATGCACAAAATATTTTGCATTGTTAAAAAACATGTATTATTATCTCACTTAACTTTCATTACAGCATTACTAGGTAGGCAACATTCTAACTTCATTATTAGGTGTTCCTAGTATATTCTGGTTTAGGTTGTTCTAATAAATATATATGTGTGCTTGAGTAAGTAAATTTATCTATTTTCACCCCAAATTTGGAAGCAGAGGAAATAAGATCTGCTCTACCCACTTTTCAAAGTAAAGTGATAAAATGAACATGGAAGTGCTTTTAGAGTACAATGTGGCACTGAACATAAAGATCATCATTCTTTTGAGATATAATCATCGGTAACAGAAAGAAATTTGTGAGTGTTAAGATAAGAAAAGCAAAAGTTGTAAAATAAACAGCAGCATGAAATTTCCATTTCCTGATTTTGGAAAGAGTAACCTAGAAAGCAGTTAAGTCCAAAAATAAAGCACATTCAGGATATGGTGTTTTAGAGACAGAGCTATGGTATGAAAGTCTCTCTGCTCCTCTTCAGATGTAAATGCTAGCCCTTTGGCAAATAGTGTGTCTCACATAAGGGCCATGGGTCTTGAGGAAGCCCAGCAAACCTGGTCTCCTGGATCCACTGCAGGAAGGCACTGGCATTTTGTTCAAATTCTTGGCACATCTCAAAGTTCTTGACCTGCCTTTCTTCTTCCTTTTGAAGCTCTTGTTCCCGTTCCTAAAATCCCAGACCATAAACAGGAGGGCTCTCAATTAAGGCTCTTCTTTGCTGTCAAAAACTTATCTTTAGTTACGACTAAATGTCCATCTCCTAGATATGACCTGCCTTCAGCTTGAATGTGCCTAAGTGTCCATATTTCATCTAGTCCACTTCTTTTACAAACCTGTGAAGATAGCCCATATCATTCTCTTTAACTACTTATGGAGTATCTAGGACTAAGTCCAGTGACAAGTGAATTGGTAATAAAAATAATACCTTTGCTCTGATTAGGGGAGAAGGTAATATTTAACCTAAAGGAACACATAAGCTGGCGTAAAGTGAAAAGTAATAAGTAATAAGATTTATTACAAAAAATAGTAACATAGTATTATTTCTGTTTATCTTTTTGGAAAAAAGTTTTACAGTTTAAATATTATAGATAGAAAATAAAAATAAACACATGGAAGGCACCTTGGGAGGTGCACATAAAGTGAGGAATATCTTGGATTTGGAGATACAGAGTTTGTGGAATTTTTTGTCATGAATGAAATCAAATATTGAGCTTTTATTTTTTGCTTCAATCATAGAAATATGGCCCTATCTACACTGTGGGGAATAAGGTATACATATTGTGACACAGGTACACATAATTCTCAGTGTTTCATAGACAGTCTCATGTGATAACTGTGGTCTCAATATCCTTATGAAAAATCTTCCTTTCTTTCACACAAGATCTCCAACTTGGCAATGAATTAAACAGTCAGGCTCACTGTAGACCACAGTCTCTGTTGGGCCCTCATGAATTACCTGGATGACCTCAGACAAGTGTTTCCAGACCCTTTCCAGCACCTCCACCGTTAGCCAGGTGTAAGGACTGGAGGGGACTTTTAAGGCCTTGATCTTCTGGTCAAGCTCTAGCAAATGTTTGAAGTCTTCTTGAGGCCCAGCCATAAAGGCCACAAAGGCCTCATGGTCCTTCTGCAGCTGCCGGACCTCATTGAGGGAGACGCAGTGCACAGGCTCTGACAGATCCTCCTCTGCATTCTCACACCAGTTGTTAAAAGCTGATGCCTTGTTTGCAAACTCCATGAACAGCTCCTCAGCCTTCAGAGAAAAGAGGAGATGCTATTATCTGTCCTGGAAAAGGCCCTCTGCAGAAGAGAAGCTTGGGGATAAAAATCATGGCTATTTTGAAATATTTGCAGTCCAGCACTCTAAAAGGAGTGGGGATCATGGGAACCTACAGATGGATCTTTTAAGTTACAGGAACAGCTCTCGTCTTAGGATTTCACCATTGTAAAATCAGTCAAGCTCTCTCTCTCTCTCTCTCTCTCTCTCTCTATATATATATATATATATATATATATATATATATATATATATTAAAGGATCTACAGAGTCTGTAGCATCTCATTATGTAGATCAGACTAGTAGTCATCTTCCTGTTTTCAGCCTCCCCAGAGCTGAGATTACAGGTGCACACCTCCATGCTCAGTATCAATGTACCCTGGAGGCCAGCATGGCATGTCAGGGATGGAAGCCCAGCTCTTGCGCTCTACCTAAGCAGGAGCATTAATCAATTGAGCTATCTGGTAAGCCTTCCTTCATTGACAAAAGAAAAGAGAAACTGACTTCTGAATTTATTTCACTTCTACATTCTCAGAGTATCAGGAATATTTTTCAATTATCTAATTTCTTATTTTAAAATCCAGGCTCCAGTTCTACCTTGCTTAAAATAAGCATGCAAAGACAATGTTATGCTGTGCATCTGAAATATCTCCCCAAAAGTCTCATAGGTTTGGAGGTGGGGCTTTTGGAAGGTGATTGGGTCATGAGGTGCTGTATTGATCCATGGATTGATCCCTGGATGCTTTCAGGGATAACTATTTTCTTAGGAGGAAGACTTCTTTGAAAATTGGTCACTGGGGCATGACCAAAAAGGGTGTATCTCTGTCCCCAGTTCCTCACTTTATTCTCTGCCTCCTGTCTGTCATTGCACAAGCAGCCAGGCTGTTCCACTGTGTCAATCTTGGAGCTAGTCAACCAGAGACTGTAATCATGAGTCAAAATAAATGTTCATCTCTCATTTTGTGAGTATTCCACATTTTGTTCCACAGACAAGAAAGTAATTAAGATATGTGTTGAATGAAATAATGGAAAATGATTGATTAAACAGATGAGGAATATTAGTCTTATCAACTTTTCTTTTCCCTTCTCTCATCTCATTTTCTGTAGGGCAAAACCTGCTGGCATTTCTTGGTCTTCACTAAGTCATTTTCCTGACTTTGTTTTCAAATCTCATCCTATTTCTGAAGGTTTTCAAACCACTCCTCCGATCCATAGCCTACATTATGACCTATATATTTAGCATGAATACACATGTCCCTGCATTACTACTGGGAGCTATACACATACTCTAAAGATTCTACATTGTCCATTTTACTGAGAGAAAGAAAAATGTGTATTATTTGATATATTAGATAATCAGAAAAAAATTTAGATCTAAAGTGTACTGTAGCAGGGGTTGGGGGTTTGATCCTCAGGTCTGCCGTGCTGGCACGCCCCTGGGGCACACTGAGATGGCAATGGACACTGAGCATGGTGGCGTGCGCCTGTAATCCCAGTTCTTCGGAGACTATAAACAGGTGGATCACTATGCGTCCGATCTAGTGGTGAGACCCTGAACACCCTGCAGACCCATCCCTAAAATACAAATAAATAAATAAACAATAAAGAAAGAAATAAAATAAAGTGTTGTGTAGATCTAAGGAGCTAGATCTAAGCTCCTGCCGGGCAAGTGCAGGGACTTGAGATCAATCCCTGGTACTGCATGCCAAGCCAGGCTGGAACACCAGATGAGCCATGCCAGACTGAAATTGGCCATAGTGGTGCATGCCTGTAATCCTAGGAGGATCAATGAGTCTGAGCTGTGTAGCAAGATTCTGTAATAAATAAACAACAAATAAATAAATAAATGATTTTTAAATTAAACACATTGTAGATTTTGGGTCAGCAGAATTTATTTGTAAGTTTTGTCTGAAGAGAATAAAATAATGAATTTTCTTGGCTCCATAAAAGTGAGTTGAAAAGAAAAAAAAAAAAACATGTCCAAATGGAGGGAAAATGGCAAGGCATCCTATCATTACTTCTTACTATACGTTAATTTTACTACTATATATGGTTAAGTAAACCAAATTCAGAGAAAATTAACATGATCCCTACAGAAGAACATCAAAACCTCTAAAGGGATTTATATTACTTTCACAATATTATGGGTTGATTGAATATTTTACAAATATTTTTATAATCAAGAAATAAAATAACACAACTCCTTAGCAGTTTGAAATCTAAGCAAAAGAATAAGAAGTTAAGTAACTTCTTCTATAGAATACATGTGTTGTATGTGCGCAAATGTGTCAATTTTATGTTTATATTTTGTTTTAAGAAATTTTTTCAGGGCCAGGAAGATAGCTCAGTGGCATAAGGTCCTGCCTGGCAAGCACAAGGTCTTAAGTTTGATCCACAATATGAGAGAGAGAGAGAGAGAGAGAGAGAGAGAGAGAGAGAGAGAGAGGAAACATTTCCATAGTGTTATATCACTCAACAGATTAGCAACTAAGTAAAGATTTAGCATGACTGACATTTATTTGTGTGTTTGTTTTCAAATTTTTCCCACTCCCTGCCTTTACTTATTGGGAAACTTCCTTATTCCAGGTGTGTTCAGTAAATTCACTTCATTAACTTTTTAAATTATTAACAAACTCTATGATCAATGTTAAATGCCTTAGCAGCCATTTTTATAAAGTAAATTTTATTCACTAATTTCCATATAAAACTTATTTACTTGCAGTTTACACTGCAAGTTTTAGACCCATTACATCTTTAATAGTAATAACACAGAAAAGCCGGTGACTATGGCAATACCGTTCCAGTTCTTAAATAGAAGCAAAGTTCAAAATGTTAAGTGATACATGCAAAGTTTATCTCCCAAGAAGTTAATTGAAGGGAATCTTATTATTTATTTATTTATTTATTTATTTACCTATTTACTTATTTATTTATTGCAGTAGTGGGGATTGAACTCAGGACCCTGCATTTTCCAGGCAAACATTTATCCTACTGAGCTGTCTCCCTGACCCTCAAAGGGAATTTTAGAAGAAACTTCTTTATTTACTGTACAGGGCTCCTTTTATGTGACCTAGGTTAAAGTAGAAAGACAAGTTTGAACTCTTTCTGCCTTCATTGTCTCCCGCATGAAGGTTTTTGACTGTCCTCTTCTGATCCATTTCTTCACTAACATGTGTCTGGCATTTATTTCAACTCAGTTAATTTTTTAAAAAATCCTTCCTAGCCACATACTGTATTGCATCGCTGTAACCCTAGCTACCTTCAAAGGGAGTGTGAGGTAGAGAAGTTATAAGTTTAAGGTCAACCTGGACAACTTAGTAACAGCCTGTCTTAAAATAAAGTACATAAATTAAAAGGGTTGGCAATACAAATTAATGGTAGAGTACAAACTAATGGTAGAGTGTTTGCTGAGCATGGTAAAGTCCTAATTTCAATTATCAGTAGTGCAAATAGCAAAGAAACAAAAAAGTTTTTAATTTTAAAATGCTGAACCCCTTTTTACTCAGTGAGATGTTTTAATTCTTTTCAAGGTCCCAGATTATCTGTAGATTTTCCAAGAAAGGTTTCCAATATTTATACCTGTATTTCCCAGTTAATATCTAGCTAGCAGAAGCCATAGTAAGCCTCATCACTTTTCTTTCCTTCTTTTTACCTGCTGTCGAGGTAGCTGCTTCTCCCGCAGTTTCTCTCTGTGGGCTTCAGCAGCTTCCCACAGCTGCTCCCAGCGCTTCTGCAGGGCAGCATGGCGCTCCTCAATGGCTTTGGCCTGGCTATGCTGAACAGATACCAGGTGGTTCTTGAGGTCAGTGATCTTAGAAAGTTGTTCTTGCTGGAAGCTCTGAAGACTTGCATTCATCGTGTCCTAAGAGCAAATCAGTACTGAGTTTATGAACTGGAAAATAGTACAGGTTCTAAGGGGTGATTCTTATCCAGAGTGTGGTTCTGCCATGCTCTTATTTTGGACAAGATGCTGGCTAGTTAGGAATTAGGATTGTAACTAAGAAAAACAAAATGCAATGAAGACACTTAAGTGAATATTTACAGTTGGAATTATGCTTAAATTCTACTGTATGGTCATTTTACAGTTAGAGTTTAAATTAGATATGAAATTGATATTAAGGATGCATTAGAAGATGATATAATATTTGAAAATTTCCCATTCAAAACTAAATCGTTCCTATAGTAAATACTTTGTACATTTTCCTCATAAGTTTTAATATTTTTTACTCTAACTAGTACCATTGTACTATTAGTACACAAGCTAGCAATCACTCCTACTGGGGAAAGTTACACAAATAAATTGTTTGTATAAAATTAATACTAAAATCACAAAATTGAAGAAATTCCACTTCCAGCTTTAACAGAATATTTTATATTGTACTAAACCTTTCTTAGACAATAATTTTGACAGCTGTATGAAAAGTACAAATAGAAAACAAAAGAACTGTTTGAAAGAGTTCAGAATGCAACTCAAGAAGTGTTAAGGTTTATGATTATGGAAATGTCTCTAAAACCTCAGGCAGTCACAAAGATTTTTCTTTTTTTAAATTAACTTAATTAAATTAATTGTTTATATATTTAGTACAAGGTCTACAGGATCTCACTACACTCATTAGACTACAATGATACTCCTGTTTTCAGCCTCCCAAGCACTGGGATAACAGGCATGCTACCACAACCAGCCTCATTTGTCCTCTCAGTGCTCCCCAGGGTAGTACTGGCAAGGCACACCAGGGATTGAATCTCGGTCCCTGCACCTGCCTAAGCAGGTGCTTTAATCCACTAAGCTATCTGGCCAGCCCAAGATTTTTTTCAAAGATAGCTGATCCTAGAATGTATGATATTGGGATTAAGGGTATATGATTATTAAATCACTATGCTGACTGTCCTAAACCCAGCAGTATGAGTAAGATACAAGGGACAGATGCCATTAAACTGTCTTGTAGCTTTGACTGTCTTCTGCTGCCATGAATGGTTGCCCTCTGTCATGTGCTGTCCTGGAGCTATCGCATTATGAACTGCAACCTCTACAAACTGTGAGCCAAATAAGCCTTTCCTTCCTTAGCATTTGGATGTTTGGTATTTTGTATCAGCAACAAGAGAAAATTAACTAACACAGGTAGCTACAACTCAAGAACCAAAGGAAATTAAAGTAGAAATGTCACACAGAGTTTGATTTAAAAAGACATAGAGGCTAAATCTTTGTTTGGTGGGAAAATTATAACTAAAGTTTATATCCTTCTATACATAAAATAGATGAGTTTCAATGTCCATCTTTAAAATATGAAAGACAAAAGCAAAAAAAATTAAGATAATCTCAAAAACATAAAAAGAAAATTATATATAAAAGTATATCGCGAGGAATTTCTGCCGACTTCCGGGAACCCCCAGACCCAGTCCTAGCCCAGGTCCAGTGAGTGTGTAGAGAGCTTCCTGCTACACTGCGCCAGCGGGACCAGTCCCAGCCCAGGCACAGCATGGGCTGGACCCTCTCCCAACCCCTCGGGCCGCCCCCCACCACTCCGCAGTACCTCTCCCACCCCGCCCGCCAAGTAGAAATTTCTGCCCAGTTCCGGGAAACCCCAGACCCAGTCCTAGCCCAGGTTCGGTGAGTGTGTGGAGAGCTACCTGCTACCTTGCGCCGGCAGGACCAGTCCCAGCCCAGGCGCAGCATGGGCCGGACCATCACCCACCCCCTTGGGCCGCCCCCGACCACTCCATAGCACCTCCCCACCCCGCCTGTAGAGTAGGAATTTTGCAGTGTTCCGGGAAGCCTGGACCCAGTCTTAGCCCAGGTCCAGTGAGTGTGTGGAAAGCTTCCTTTTCCCCCTACTACACCTTGCCCCCTCCAGGCACAGCTCAGGCCTGGCATACATGCCTGAGCTGTAACCCTGCAGCTGCAATCCCTGCAGAGAGTACAGAGGATAGATCCACCCAGCTAGTCCAGGAGCAGAACATCTTGCCACAAGGGCACAACATATTCACCCTCAAGGGCAGCATCGGGAAGGAGCTGAGCACAGCAGCCAGACCTAAGCCAGACG